TTGTGGATTCACTCTTCAACACACCGGTGGGCTAAAGTAGTGAACTATTTGTCTTTTGTCAACGTGACATTTTTTTGCTGATTGGCCGTGTCGGGTGGTGGAGGGTTATGACACATTTATAAATAACGCGATCTGACCCAAAAACGTTTATTATGATTAACATTTCCCGATGACAGAAACATAAAAAATAAGTATAACCCGTAAAAACAAAGTTTTTCACTCTAAATCCTTTATATGCGTGGCGGCTAGATTCCTCTCGTCCTCTGGCTTGAGATGGCTGCCACCTATGGGTCAGATGATTGTCTGGCAGCATTAAGCAATTGGTAATTAAATATTTTTAGAAAATTCCCTAAACAGTGTAAAAATTTTCACGAAAATTAATTGTCTCGCACAACGAGTCTGTGTGGAAAATGTCAGCTCGATTGGATCACGGGAAGTGGGTTAAAAAACGACCGAAAGATTTGCACGGTCGTAAGCAAGCAAGCAAGCACGCAAGCACGCAAGCAAGCAAGCGAACTTAATATAAGTATAACCCGTAAAAACAAAGTTTTTCACTCTAAATCCTTTATATGCGTGGCGGCTAGAGTCCTCTTGTCCTCTGGCTTGAGATGGCTGCCACCTATGGGTCAGATGATTGTCTGCAGTATTAAACAATTGGTAATTAAATATTTAATTTGTTTTCCCTAAACAGTGTAAAATTTAGGAATTTTTTTTCACGAACATTAATTGTCTCGCACAACGAGTCTGTGTGCAAAATGTCAGCTCGATTGGATCACGGGAAGTGGGTTAAAAAACGACCAAAAGATTTGCACGGTCGTAAGCAAGCAAGCACGCAAGCACGCAAGCAAGCAAGCGAACTTAATATAAAGGATTATTAGAATGTTTTGGAAAATGGTCTTCAAAGCAAGCTCCATTGTATGAAATTCATGACGCCCTGTTTTGGTCGACTGTCGCCAATAAATGATAAATAAATAAAACAGACGAGGGTCTGTTTCGCCACCAAAAATAAAATAGCATTCAAGACTCTCTTGCCCGTGGGGATTCTGGAGTAATACTTTCCAGCAGCGGTTGTTTAAGCAAGAAGACTCGAGACCGGTTGCAGTTCTGTGGGATTTGCGATGTAAGAGCTGAAGTTGAACGGTGGAATGTTCATACAAATATCGCATTGTTGTTGAACACGTCATTGTCTGTATTTAGCATCGACTGAGACCGAGTAAAGAAAATCGACACAAGACGGAACTTAGTTGTTCAAACCCCCATCTGCCAGGTTTTTGAATGTCACCAAACCAGCTACATAGATCAGCGGTAGAACGTTCGTTGCTGTTTCAGAGGTTCATGGTTCGAATCCAGAAGGCCGCCCTGGCATCACTGAGGGCTTATTGACATTGCGAGCCGTTTAGTTTACCACCGAGCCACATGGCCTCGGGTTTCCTATAGGCTGAGTAGGTATCTTTCCTTACATAAATCTGTCACCAGGCTCTCTGTGGGGCCCCCCCCCCTCCTCCCCAGCCCAAGAAACCTCGCACAGACACAAACGGTCCCTCATTGAGCTTAATAGACGAGTAGCGTGCAAATGCGTTGCAAAACAGCAGCAGCAACGCTGCAGTTTTAACATATGAAGCTGCGCAACATATGAAGAGTGCAACACAATTGCATGTGGAAAAATTGCAAAATTCAACTTCACCTTGTAACAAATGCTGCTAGAAAACAACAACAGGACCCCTTGGGATAATGGACCTAAGAATTACATTTCCACAGTAATTAGATTAGAGAACAGACCCAAGCGTGCTGGACCATCCTCCCAGCATGGCTCGTTTTTTATTCCAACGTTTTAACATCCACGCAAACATCCTCCACCACCCCCCACCCCAGCCGAGCCAGAAGGAAGCGTTCGTAAAAAAAGAAATGTAAACACAACGTTTAATGCACGCTTGGGTTCGGTAATGCTTTCCCAATCAATGATTTATTATTTTAGTAAAATTTCCTTAGGCCGATCTAAGCAAAATATGGTGTCGTTTTGGTCAGTGTCGAATGCGCCATCACATGGCTCCAAGGAGAGCACAAGTAAAGGTTTTCAGTTCCATTCATAAAATGAGCAAAGGGGCTCAGTAATACCTTGCTTCCATGGACGGTCAACTCGCAAGTCTCTTGCAGCAATACTTGAGTAAAATGTCAAGACTGTTTTTATGACAAAATTGAATATTAAATTATATGTTCCTGCTGCCTACATTTTTCATTGAAATGTTTCGTGACGTAATTCTACTCTTTTAAGTCGGGAATTCAGAGGCCAGCCAATAAGTCAGGCTGCAGCCCAAAATTGCAAGACTCGAGTCAATAAAATGCACGAAAACTCTGTCAGGGGCCAACACAAGCACTGTCGAGATATGCGACTACATGGAGTATGTGGAAAATGACATGTGTGGTATTGCTGTGGGCTTGATCCTTAAATGCTGCTACGAAAATCCTGGTCAAAGCCATCCTACCCAGTTCATGAACCAAGCCAGCCACGTTTCATTGATCACAGCAACATGGCACAGATGTCTTAGTTTTTGATGATGCAACAGGTGTTCTAGGTTTTACAAATAGAATATCGATAGGCAGATCAAACAGGACTGCAATTATTTAGCAAATTCGAGGTAGCCAACTATCCACGACATCAGTGAGTGGCATCGCTATCATTATCCACTCGTGCTATTTTTAGAATCATCCTTCTAAGTCCAGTAATGCTGCACTTGAATGAAGTTATTTTACTCAGATGGTACTTGCCATATGAATGTGGAATGCCCATGTTCCATCATCATTACTATGTAGAGCCAAGCACCACCAAATGCTCATTCCAAAGCACAAGACCCTTGACCTAAAGAAATCTATATGCGTAACAAATGCTGAAGTCGGCACCAATTTTTAACCAAAATTGATGAATTTTTCTGACCCAAGGGAGAAGCTGGACTCGATCTAAATGCCGAGGGATTTTTCCTTGTATTTGGATTTTGTGTGTTGCGTCTAATAACCGATATCACTCTCGTTGCCTGGGATCTTGTATAATCTAATCCAATACAATCCAATCTAACGGGCACAGACCACAAAACCCTCTCCACAGCACGCAGCCGTTTATAGAAATGGCTTTGCTTGTGGGGTGGGGGACTGCTTCAATTAATCAACCGTGGCCACATTTCACATTATGTTTCGGTTTTAATGCACGAAATGGCGTAACAGAATCCACAACATCCTTCCCTCCATTTGAGAGCTGGTCGGCCTGTTTCCACTTGGCATGTTATTTTTGGGCTGTTGAGAGGTCATTGGGCGACTGTTGCCGAATGGACAAGTGTATTGTTAATGCACCGATGTAATGCGTGCCCTGTTGCTTTTAACCTAAATTGCTCCCATGAACCAAGCTTAACCCCGCCCGTCTCCTGCGTGGCTTTGTTACTTTCACAAGCATGATTACACCTGCTACACAAAGCCGATCGTAGGACGCCCTCTACAGACCACTGAAGCAGTCGCTATGCAAGAGCTTCGTCGCTGACAAGAAAAAAAATTAACCCGTAAAAACAAAGTTTTTCACTATAAATCCTTTATATGCGTAGCGGCTAGAGTCCTCTCGTCATCTGGCTTGAGATGGCTGCCACCATTAAGCAATTGGTAATTAAATATTTAAAAAAATGTCCTAAAAAGTGTAAAGTTATGGAAAAAAAATTCACGAAAATAAATTGTCACGCACGAGTCTGTGTGCAAAATGTCAGCTCGATTGGATCACGAGAAGTGGATTAAAAAACGACCGAAAGATTTGCACGGTCGTAAGCGCGCAAGCAAGCAGGCGAACTTAATATAAAGGATTTAAAAAGGATGTTTTCCCGTCAGTGACCGCGAATGTCCTATATTTTTTTTTCACTTGTCCTGTTGTCTAACATCACTGAAGGATCAACGATTTACAATGGCTATTGAACTCAACCCTTACAATCCAAGAAAAAGTTTGTTTTGTCAGAACACCTAGTTTTGCATTGCCACTGCCGACCGTAATACAACTGAGCAAGGTTTTGTTTTGGGATGACATTCATTGAAAGCCGTTCAAATCAATAACATGGTACAGTATCAATGCCAACAGCCATTTCTTCCAACAGAGCCATAAAGTCGAAGGTTCTTATGAATTAAACCCGCTCTAAAAGGCAACTAGGTTTATTGTATTCACAGTAATTGTATAAACTTGTTTGTATATATTTAAACTCGATTCGAAGCTTTCGTGACTGCAGGAATTACTCTTTGGTTATTTCAAGTCGCATAGAAAGAAATAAAATAATAATAAAATAAGTTTCGATTGCAACACTATCAAACACAACTTAATGCAACCAGGCTATGCGTTGTGTTAACCGTGTTGCATTGCATTACACTAAATTTTACTAAATTTATTGTAAAACTTCCCATTTCACTATACATTTTTCCTTTCTGGTCTGTTTCACACTTAACTTCTAATTTAGCAATCTTTGGAAGAACGTAATCAACCAGGCTATGCGTTATGTTAACCGACTGTTGCATTTCATTACACTTCCGAATTTTACTATATTTTCTTTCTCAAACTTCCGATTTTCTTGCTCTAAACATTGCCGTGCTGGTTTGTTTATAGTCCATTGTCTCTCCTCTGGCCACGAAGATCCAGAATTCCACAACTCTCATTGTCCTCTGCCCCAACCCCGCCCCCCCTATTTAAGGCCTCGACAGTGGCACCGTCTGTTTATCATTCTTTGGAGCGTGGTCAACCAAGTGGAGTGTTGGCCGGCTCTGTTGTTGCATTGTTTGAGTTTTTTCTCATTCATTCTTACCCTTTGGTTGCTTGTTGCAATCGAAACGTCATATTCTATTTGATTTTCGACGTGACTTTACCAAAATGTATATATTTTAGTAATTCACAGCACAAACCATCAGTGAATATTGAGGCTCATCCAGAAGCTACTTCAGTCCTTCCAGCACAAAGCATTAAAAAGCACTGCACCACACCAACTTAATCGAAATTAATGCCAGTCATTTTTATTTAAAACTTTTGGCTACAACATGGATACAAAACGTAAAAGATAAATTAGCCTGGATGGAGTCCAGCTTTCACGAGTCTTCATGTTAATACATCACCCACAACATGTGGACACAGGACGTCACCGCTAATAGGCACCTTTCAGAAACTGAGATTTGCACTGAACGTTTAGCTTTGCCGCAACAAAGCGGTAACAGCAGCAACTGATAAGGACGTGTTGACTCGAAAATACCCTCAGCCAACTAGCATCCTGATGAAACATGCAAAAGTGGAACATACATGACAGCTTTGTTAGGATAACCTCAGATTGTGCAAGCCCAACAGAGGACATGCACAACATTATCATCATTGCCACCAGCCTCCACATATTTAGACTTTGCCTTATTTTAAAACACTCGTGCTGGTGAAGTGATAACGCCAACAATTTCGCCTTTATTAAGGATTATAAATACACCACAGGCCTGCGATCCGACTTTGCAACCACTGTGCCCTCAGGCTGTTAACATGACAACTCAATATTAGTTCATTGTTCATCTTCACAGATGTTGTACACAGACTGGACTCCAGCACCCAGGCACATCTGCAAACGATTTTTCAAGTGCTGAGAAAAGACAACTGCCTCACCTTGTGCACATAGCAGCTCAGGACACCGCGCACTACAGTATACGTGTTGTAGTGAACATCTGCACTTGATCGCAGCACGTTTGAAAAAGTGCTCGATGGAAAGTTGTGCATGTGTGTGCACGAGTCTAGTTACCGCACAGATGATCCGCATTAGCAACAAGCTGGGACACCACTCTATAATCCCATCGCATCAGCAGCACAGACCTCTCTTCACGCAACGAATACTCGCGCTCAGTAGAGCGACCGTATGAACTCGGTGGGAAGAATTTCTTGGCAAACCAGCATGGGTCAAAGTGCCAGCTTCTTTGCTTGCAAATAAATGGAAAGCTCAGTTCGCTTGCCGGCCGCTCATACATGTGACCTCCAATGCTGTTGATGAGCGTCTCACACACACACGATATCTGCAAACATCATTAACACATTTCACCACGCCAGAAAAAAACCATGGGCACTTATTAAAAAAAAACTTCAGAAGACCAACGGATCTCTGGACGAACCCGTTTCGGATTGAATAACCCTCATGCAGTTAATTGCCAAACACTTTCACCACAGCTGCCAAACGCAGCTACGTTTCACCCCATATCTTTGCCATCCAGGTATCTGTATCTCCGAACAAACACAATTTTGTTATTATTACAAAAAATATGCTTTGCATTTTTTGCTGCTCGGTTGCATGGAGCTGATTGTTTTGCGTCAACGCAGAATAGCAACACAGCCCGACATCAACCAACCACTCAAATCGGAATAATGAAAACTCTCATTCAGTCTGCGCTGCAGGAAAATAACGGAATCGACCGAGTTCATCCGTTGAAATAAAAATACATAGCATGGACTGAGCAACTTATGGTAGCCTTTAAAAAAAGTGGGGGGGGGGGGGGGGAGGGGTAAAATGCTTCAGCCTCCATGCCTGTTCAAGAACTAAACTTTTGGCCTAAAAAGACAAGATGATAACAGCAAAAATAAAATCAGGGTGCTCCTAAGAAAACCAGCCTCCGCTTCTGCATCCACCTCGACAAGCAAGCCGCAGGCACGGAAATCACCTCCCGCGTTTCTCCTGCACCGCAGCGCTCAATCTCACGACTGCACCGTGTCGTTAGCGCGGGTGCAGGCGGGAGTGCCGTGGCCCAGGGTTAGGCGGTCAAATCGCTTTGGCCCGCCCCTCTTGCCCACGTGCGCCTCCCCGCTTGCCCTCCTCCCTCGGAAGCTCAAGCGGCGGCTTTAGAAGTCTGCGTCCAGCGTGAACTGGTGGTCGACCTTAGACATGACGCCCATTTTCTGGTACTCGGCCACTTTCTTCTCGAAGAAGTTGGTCTTCCCCTCCAGCGAAATATTTTCCATGAAGTCGAAGGGGTTCTCCGCACGGTACACCTATCGGAAAATGCGAGGAACGATAGTTAATACGAGTGCGCTCTCGTTATTATGTGCACGTGCTAAGTTTTACTGCCACATGAACGAAGCGGGATAAACCTCAACTATCCACATTCAACTGCTCAACGTTTAACAATTACAGGTTAACAGTACAATAGCAACTTCTTGTTTCTTTCGGTAAAGTCACGTAGAAGGGAAGTAATAAAATAATAAAAATAAAACATAATAAAACAATTCTCACGACGTTTCGGCTACAACGCAAGCAGCCGTCTTCAGGTGAAGAATGAGACACTACCAAACTAGGAGCTTATATATAAGCTGCATTGGGGGTTGAAGAGCGCCTTAACAAAAAGAATGTGCATGTGAAGAGGGATTTAGCATATTCATGGAAAATGCGTAGGCGTTGGGCGGGGGGGTGTCAAAGTCATATTATGCCCATGCATTATGCAGGATCAGCAGCAACCAAGGGGGGTGCAGGGATTAGCAGTAACAAAGGAAAGGAATGTTAATGATATGTAGCTGCAGTTACTCAACAACCACGTAGAAAACTAAAGTATAAACTACATAAAAAACTAAAGTATAAACTGCATCGCACCATCAGTATACTTACTATACTCTATAATAAGCTGAGTTACTAACAGCAAGTAATACATTACAATTTTACCTCGTAAAAATTCTATAATATGCTTCCATCTAAACCTTATTCTCTTACATCACACGAGCATATACCGTACTATATACTGCCATAGATAAACCCAACATTAAATTATATACTGTATTGCTGTAAACCAACCTATATCTTATACATTTAATATCACACTATGTATTATTCTACACACCCTAATGTGTATCGAAATGGTTTATTACGTCCTTCCAATGATTGCTGAGCCAGAATCCATCTTCTCGGTTAAAGTTGTCTCTGTGTTTGTATATGTGGATCGCCTCATGAACGAATCTCTCATGATAGCCAGATGGCTTGCAGAGAACCTCTGTCTTGGAGAAGTCAATATCATGTGAGCCCACTGAGTTGTAACAGTGATCTGCCACGGCTGAGGTGTTAGTCCTACCGTGTTTCAGGTCAGCTTTATGTTCACGGATGCGGTCCGAGACATGTCGTTTGGTTTCCCCAATGTAACTGCTACCACAGAGGCAACTTAGTTTGTAGACGCCAGGGTACTGTATGTCTGGAACCACATCTTTTACAGACGGTACCAGATCACGGATTTTATGTACTGTGTTGAATCGGACCTGGATCTTGTGTTTAATCAGGATTTTGGAGATCTTTTTTGTGACCCCAGCAATGTAGGGTAAGGTGCGTAGGCGTTGCTGGGGTCACAAAAAAGATCTCCAAAATCCTGATTAAACACAAGATCCAGGTCCGATTCAACACAGTACATAAAATCCGTGATCTGGTACCGTCTGTAAAAGATGTGGTTCCAGACATACAGTACCCTGGCGTCTACAAACTAAGTTTCCTCTGTGGTAGCAGTTACATTGGGGAAACCAAACGACATGTCTCGGACCGCATCCGTGAACATAAAGCTGACCTGAAACACGGTAGGACTAACACCTCAGCCGTGGCAGATCACTGTTACAACTCAGTGGGCTCACATGATATTGACTTCTCCAAGACAGAGGTTCTCTGCAAGCCATCTGGCTATCATGAGAGATTCGTTCATGAGGCGATCCACATATACAAACACAGAGACAACTTTAACCGAGAAGATGGATTCTGGCTCAGCAATCATTGGAAGGACGTAATAAACCATTTCGATACACATTAGGGTGTGTAGAATAATACATAGTGTGATATTAAATGTATAAGATATAGGTTGGTTTACAGCAATACAGTATATAATTTAATGTTGGGTTTATCTATGGCAGTATATAGTACGGTATATGCTCGTGTGATGTAAGAGAATAAGGTTTAGATGGAAGCATATTATAGAATTTTTACGAGGTAAAATTGTAATGTATTACTTGCTGTTAGTAACTCAGCTTATTATAGAGTATAGTAAGTATACTGATGGTGCGATGCAGTTTATACTTTAGTTTTTTATGTAGTTTATACTTTAGTTTTCTACGTGGTTGTTGAGTAACTGCAGCTACATATCATTAACATTCCTTTCCTTTGTTACTGCTAATCCCTGCACCCCCCTTGGTTGCTGCTGATCCTGCATAATGCATGGGCATAATATGACTTTGACACCCCCCCGCCCAACGCCTACGCATTTTCCATGAATATGCTAAATCCCTCTTCACATGCACATTCTTTTTGTTAAGGCGCTCTTCAACCCCCAATGCAGCTTATATATAAGCTCCTAGTTTGGTAGTGTCTCATTCTTCACCTGAAGACGGCTGCTTGCGTTGTAGCCGAAACGTCGTGAGAATTGTTTTATTATGTTTTATTTTTATTATTTTATTACTTCCCTTCTACGTGACTTTACCGAAAGAAACAAGAAGATGAATCCCTGCAGTCACGAAAGCTTTAAATCGAAAAGTACAATAGCAAGTTAAGTTACACACTTTTTTAAGATAAAATAATCAAGTCACAATTTGTATTTGAAAATTATAAATAATTTTGGGGAACGAAAGGCACTTAGTGTTGCGCTGAGCTTTGATCAGTTACACCCTTGGTGTTCGTAACGCGTATGCATGAAAATCGATTATAATAACCCTTTCAACTATTCACAAATTTGGTAATCTGCGTACCATTCACATAGGGGCTCCCCAGTATCAGTTTGCCTGTACACAAGGCCATTAGCTTCCACAGCTACATAACATAGTCTCACTGGACCAAAATTTAAGGGTAGCAGTTTCCAACCGTTCAACCTGTGAATCACCGTTAACCCTCAAAATTCAATGATTTAATATTTTTTTATTAACTCTTAATTGTAGCATTTGCAAGTTCCGTGCACCACTTTCCATGGCCCTGTGGATCCACCAGTGGCCCACAAGTTGGAAACACCAGCGAGAAGAAACAAAATAAAAATGTGTTGGCCAACCCTTAAACCTCAGAAGAATACAAATGTGATATTGTGGAGTTCACACACTACATCCAGCAACCCAACTCCCTATCCTTTGCTCACCTTGGCACAGCCGAGTTCTCCAAGCAGCCTGTCGGCCACAAACTCGATGTACTGCTTCATGAGGTCACAGTTCATGCCGATAAGGTTGACGGGCAGCGCGTCAGTCAGAAACTCCTGCTCAATGATCACGGCGTCCATCACGATCTGCTGTACACGCGACTCCTCGGGCTTGTGCACCAGGTGGCGGAACATGAGGCACGCAAAGTCGCAGTGCAGACCCTGATGCACGGAAGACGAGGAAAGAACGGGCAAGAGGGAGGACAAGACGAGACAGACATGGAGACCACAGGCAATGATTACCAACCAGCTAAGTCAGATTTGCATACCAAGCTCCTGCCAAATCAATGGATTGCACAAAAAATTTCAGTTCTCTTTCATTCAAATAAATATTTTTTGTCTTGTCTGTACCGTCTCATTCTGTCTAGTCCACTGTTTGGCTTATATGTACTGAAAGCAATTTAAATTATACACAATATTGAAATAATGCATATTAAGTGCTGTAATGCACGCTCGTTTTTGTCTCATTGCCACAGTTACGAGTTTTCTATATTTAATTATGTGCCATCTTGTCAAGTCTTGTTCGTACTGTTGCACTTGTAGTCTTGTCATTGATTCAATTAAACCCAAGTTAAATCTGAACCGTGTGTAATATTACGTAAAAACTAAGTTATGAACGGATGTATACAAAACGATCAAGAACACCCATAAAGCCTTAACAGACTGTCGGAGCAAGTGCTGTTAGCGAGCACTTACTAACGGCCGGCACATGAGGCGGGTGGCCAGCACCACGCCCGGCCGCCTTTTATGTCTCCCTAGTGGCGATGTTAACACTGCACCAGGTACTAATTGAGGCCAAGTCGACATAGGGGAGGCCCAGTACCGGTTTAGATAATATAATCACGGATGTTGGCCGTGAGTGGGAATCGAACTCGGCCACCGTGTTCTTAGGACAGCGTGCAAACCGTTACACCATTGCTCCCCATATATACACAACACAGAGCAGTGACAAATAACACCGATTTAAAAATGAATATTAGCACCACACAAATACCGAGGAGCATTGTGCTTCCTCGGTGTTAGTGAGGGTGTCTGAATGTAAAGTACTTCACCACTATTACTTAAACACAGCTATCGAGACGGGACGTTATACAGAACACAGTTGATCTTGCTTGCACTTTAAGGTCTTCAGCTCATATGCAAATAAGGTGCGAGGGATTGTGCTTTGGCAGAGGTGCTCTGATCATGTCAGCACATACAGGCACAGACCCACGCATTTACCCACACGCAAAGGAGGTGCTCACCTCGTCACGGCTAATGAGCTCATTGGAGAATGTGAGGCCGGGCATGAGACCACGCTTCTTCAGCCAGAAGATGGAGGCAAACGACCCCGAAAAGAAGATGCCCTCGACAGCAGCAAAGGCCAGAACGCGTTCACCTGCACAGTACACATGGCACAATAAATGGTACGAGCTCCCACATCCATTCTAAACAGGGTCTCCCTCTCAAAAGAGAATTTATGTGCAAGGGCCCTCTGCTGGTTGAAGAGATTGCTCAATAACGGAGCTCTGAAAAGGAAGATGCACCTTAATTGTGCGTGGTGTGAATCTTCTACTAATGTGGTCACATACACACAAACCCACTGGATTATAATAACCTAGAGTGGGATAAGAATCAATTTAAGAGATCTCGGATCCAATTGTGAAATTCCAGCTCATTCGTGTTACGACAAGACACAGAGCAGCATAATTTGGAAATAATTGTAGGGATAAAAGGATGTGGATATAGGTAAATTGGGAGTCTGATGGGGGTATGGGTGAGGAGTTCACATTTGAGGAGTGCACGGGTCATACCGAAGGTGGCGTTACTGTCGGAGATCCAGCGGAGCGCCCAGTCTGCCTTCCTCTTGACGCACGGCAGAGTCTCGATGGCGTTGAAGAGAAACTCCCTACCCAGGCAAGACAACAACTAAATCAGCACATGCACCACACAATACACACACTGATATCCAGTTCTTGGGAAGGGAGTGTTTCAGTAAGTCGAATGTGCCGAAGTTTCTTTACTCCCGCATGAGTGATAGCTTTCTCCAGGTTACCTGGTTTTCTGCTGCATGCTAAATGCTCAGCGAAAAGGAACCAACAAAAAAATAAAATAAAGAACCTGCTTAAAAGTCTCGATACTCCAAGATTTTTCTGGATAATTTACATGGTTTTTTCACGAGGCATATGTTAATGCTGGTGGTCGCAATGAAGAGGAGGGCTGTGTTGATGAAAGTTTCGCAGAGCGTTCCTCTACCTCTGGGTAGGGTCCTTGATGTACGTGTCGATGAGAAGGCTGTACATCTCCGAGTGGATGTTCTCCATTGCGATTTGGAAGCCATAGAAGCATCGTGCCTCTGTGATCTGCACTTCCTGGCTGAAGCGCTCCACCTGGTGCCAAACAGCAAGGCAAGGAAAAATACAAAACAGCTATGTTTTTATGCACCGGATTTTTGGTTGACACATCTCGTACAACAATCTTTTTGAGCAAGAGTTTTTTGGCAGGCAAAAAGTCGAATCACCGACTGACCAGATTCTCATTGACGATGCCGTCGCTGGCAGCAAAAAACGCGAGGACGTGGGAGATGAAGTGTTGCTCCTCTGGCTTCAGCTGCTCCCAGTGCTGCTGATCTTTGGACAGGTCCACCTGAAGGCAATAGGAGGATGAGAGAGTGTGAGCTGGAGTAACCAACACAAAAAAGACCTTGGCAAGCTGAATCACACAGACCAGCCACATTTGGTGAAATACATGCTGCGGAAAATAAGCATTTTCAGCAAAGGTCACCGATATTAACATTGTATTCTGCTTTCATCTGCAATTCAGTAAGTTGGGCAACTTAAAAAGACATTGGTAACAGATTCAATTAAATCACAGGCTCTTAGTGCCATCAAGAAGAATGTTCTGAATGTTTTGGCAGAATAGTCCTCTGCATAGAATATTGAGTTTACAGTGGGGAATCTTAAATACATTGGAATGGATGGGTGAGTTGAGTTGATGCTGTTGTTCGAACTAACAGAGTATTATTAGGTGTGGTGTGACTGGGTTGGCGATACCAGTGTTATTCAAGTACAATAAGTCTGCGGAGTTTTAATTCTTAGGAACCATGTGTAAAACTAAACGGCAACTTTCTAACTTTAAACATGGCCCATACTTTCAAGCACTCAGTGAGCCATGAACCTGGCAACAGACTAGCCCAAGTCCTCAGATTTTTAAAGAAATTATAGCCTGAACCCGTAAACTAATGTGTATATGTTGAACTCAAATTATGCATTAATTGTATGATTAATTGAATGTTGGCTGAAAGCATATTCCACCAACATTTGGAAAAACAAGCCAAACTTTCATTCCATCATGACTAGTCTTACATTACACATTTAACGCAAAAAACAATTCTGCCAACGAACGACCTGGGCCCAACCAAGGGACACCATACCTCCTCAGCTGTCCAGAAGGAAGCCTCTGCCTTCTTGTACATCTGCCAGATGTCTGGGTACTCGATGGGGAAGATCACAAAGCGGCGAGGGTTGTCCCTCAGCAGAGGTTCCTCCTGGGCACGGGGGTCACGCAACCGTACAACGCCGGCCTGAGGGGGCACACACACGCACACCTTCACCGACGTGCACCAACCACACATTTCACAAAGCACCATCCACATGAAGATGCTCCAAATAGAATTAACAGTTGGTGAAAGTGCCGTTAAAGAGCGCTTCTTAAAGCCGGCACGGATACGAGGAGATGGTGGCTAGTACAACTTCCAGCCACACGGTACTATTTATCCACTGCACCAGGTCATCATTTAAGGTTCTACCTATAGACTGGTTCAGATAGGTCACCGTGAGTGGGAATCGAACTCGCACGGCTAGATCCATAGCACAGTGCGCCAAGCACCACGAATCAAAACACATACCTTCACCAACATCCACCATACCTTCTTCAACATGGACGCACGAATTACACAACCTTCACTAGCAAGCATGTAGGCCAATAGCCAATACATTTAAACCATCATGCAGACAAAACCACACTTGAAATACAATACAAACAATTGTTCGCAAACATTTAAAAGACCAAACCTGACTCCTCAGCTTGCTCAAAGTTGTATAATTATCTAGAGTAACTACCCCTCCCCTCACACACGTTGTGTCCACTCTTTATAAAAAATCGAGATGCCACCAACCACCAAGTTGAGCCTTTTCACGCTTAAAAAAAAATCTTCGATATTTTGTTTAAATCAGACACCACATGCACCTGATCTATAGTAAAACGTAGCATGCGTTGTCTACTTAAACAAGGACACATGATCGGCTATATTCATTTAAACAAGCGCTCTTTTGTAATGCAGTCCTGCGCGTTCTTGGTAATAATCATCAGGCGTGTGCGCTCTGTAACTCGACTTGTTCTTACAACGGAGATTGGTAGACATGTAGATTCGGACCTACCATCAGCACCACCTGCTCAACATCTACACAAGCTTCTGTGCGCCCCCACACACAAACACCATCTCATTCCATGTCCCCTACTGTATGCGCCACACGTGTGGTTTATAAATAAATCCGTATGCTAACGTAAATGCACTGTACGGTTCCAAAACTTGAGCAATGTGGCCACAAGGTGGCGCCCTCGCCTCACTAAACGCACCGTTTGCGCAACGCCAAACTTCGCTCCTTTATGTAACTACAGCCAATGACCAAGGGAGAGAGCCTAAATGTCTCAAAGCATTGCCAGCATTACGCTACGGCGAGCGATAGGTTTTGTCATCAAATATTTAGACGCGTCACACGTTTGTGTGCGTCAAAGGTTAACCCCTGTACTTGAGACGACCGTTCATGAGGGTTCCGATTTAAACGATCCGCGCAAACACCAGTCACAAAAAAACATTAGAATTTTTCAACGAGGTTCAACTCAATACTAACCCGACGCCTACCGCCAATGTTGCTATAATGAAGGGCGGGTAAATTATACATCACGAATAGAGGGAACACAGAGGGGAGGGCCTGAAGACGGCTGATGCCCGTCAACAGGCCAAGCAGCTGGCCGAGCGATACGAAACAGGTCTCTTTTGTTCGCCTTGAGACTTGGAGACCCGCCCTCCCACACCACTAACCCCACCCCCTCCAATCACCTCGGTCGTTTTCTCTCCAGCCTTTGTATCATCCTGGACGGCGACGGGAAGGTTCTGCGAGACAAACCAACAAAAGGGATGTGCTCAACACAACCCGCATCTCCATTGCAGCACGAGGCGGGGGTGGTGATTAAACCCAGCTCTTAATACATTCCAGCCACTCAATCCACCACCAATGGATCAAGTCTTCCCCACTCCATTTAAAAGTATGTTTTTTTTAACCATACTTCACCACACTGGTTAATGGGGGTTTATAAAACGAGGACAAGCCTGGTTGCGAATCAAACGCATGTCGCTGTATTCACAGCACAGTGCGCTGTCAACTACCATGCTACTACTTATTTATTTTAAATAGATGGCTCACACAGCAGCTCGTATTTTTCTTGCAAGAAACCAGCTTTCAATGGGTCTCTAATGTGGGGAATAAAAAAAATCGTCTGGCAGGTAAACATGGAACGTACAATAAAACTTGTATGTAGGATCACGCGATAATGCTCTTGTCATAATCACGTAACGAGGCAAACCCATTGTTTTGGAACTGCTTATTACAGAGCATGCCGGGGACGGGCGATGGAAGATGTGGAAACTGCAGAGTAACGTACCCAAAACAAACCCCAGAATCTGAAGCATGTTTAACTAGCAAATGTGCAATGTACAGTTATTGTATACCTAGTACCAATGACTCTAAATGCACCCAATCCTGTCATGTCGAAGAAGCCAAGCAGACCAAGCCTGGCGAGTTCCTTAATGGGTGACCATCAAGACTTGTGAGCTGCCCTGGTGGATTTTGTCTAAATATAATCATGAATCCCTTGCTAAATTCTAGAGACTGCATAGCTTTCATGTGCAATTACACAACACCAATTCTGTTCAAAGCATTTAAAATTACATTTATTCCTGCTCAAAACACAGTTGTATCAAACGTGTGCGCTAAACTGGTTTAGCGGTGACCGAAACGTGAATTCAAACTCTGGGCTATCAGCCGTGTCAGATCAACAGCTCTCTCCTGGCAATAAAACCCAAACGATATATTGCACCAGTTTTTTTACGCCAGTGTAAAACAACCAGCTTTTCTGGAGGTAGGTTGTAAGCCATACGTTCGCATTTGGGAAATAATTGTATCTATAAATACAAAAATCCGCCCAAGGCTTCATTACTGTGGAGTTTGTGTGTGTTGTGTGTGCAAGAAGGCCGTGTCCCCGACGTGGGGAGCAGTAGTGTAGCAGTTAGCGCTACGATGCGCTATGAACCCAGCCACCCGAGTTAGATTCCCGCTCACGGCCAACACCAGTGACGATTATCTGAACCGGTCCTGGGCTTCCCCTGGGTCGACTCGGCCTCAAATGAGTACCCAGAGCAGTGTGTAAACGTCGCCAATGGGGAGACAAAGGCGGTCGGGCGTGGTGCTGGCCACCCACCCCCTCGTGTACCGTTTCGACCTTCATAGGTGCTCGCTAACAGCACTTGCCCCTACAGTCTGTTAAGGCTATACGGGGGATCTTTGTCTGTGTGTGTGCGTGAAGGCCGTGTCCCCGACGTGGCCACGGTGAGGCCTTGCCGGGCCCCACGCCCGTAGAGAGGCCCTCACCCGCTCCTGACTGTCGCACAGAATCCTCCGTGCGGCCCGCGATGCCAGCGCCTTGGAGTTGGGGCTCCGCATCTGCTGGGGTCGAGGATCAAAGGAGATGGGGGACACAGACGCACGGGGACACGGGGAAGAGACATGACAAGAGAGAGAATAAGGAGAAAGAGACATGAGATGAGGGGAGAGATAAACACGGAGTGACAAGTAAATTAGTGATTACAAAAAGTACTTCGATATACCATTTAATCTTTATTTGAAGCTTTCGTGACTGCAGGAATCCATACGCTTTGGTTCTTTCGGTAAAGTCACGTAGGTAGAAAATAAAATAGATCACGTTTCGATTGCAACACAAGCAATCTTCGTCTGATGATTGCTTGTGTTGAAATCATCACGTCGTAATTTATTTTATTTCTACCTACGTGACTTTACCGAAAGAACCAAATAGTATAAACAATTTAATTGAACCTATTGACGTACCTAGCCCAATTCGTCTAAAATAACTCGCATCCATCAAATAACACCCATCTCTAAAGCAAACGTGTAACGTTTCGGGCAATGGACCTTCGCGCAGTGTTGAGTGTTTTGTTTATTCGTGTACCGCTACCAACACAACATTGTTACCAGATGAGATAATAGCAATCTGTACACTAAAGTTGCATCCGACATCTCCACAGCAACCACAAAAGTTTATCAATAAAGCACTGCACGCTTATAAATTAAACATACATTATATGGCAGGCTCCGGAGCACCAGACATGTTAATTATAAATAATTTGTATATACGCCAACAATTAGCTACATGATTATTATCGATCTGGTCACTCATTACAAGCCAATGCATTGTCACCAAACACACAAAGGGCAGCGATTAAACCACACACAAAAAAGCCACAAAAACCAGATTACCACACGAACATAGATGCATTTCCCCTCACAAGTGACATTAATTGTATGCGTTGTCAAATTAAACCAAACATCGATTGCTTAATCTTCAACTCGTCCTTCGCGTCTCCCGCCAAACACGAACCGTCGCGCCCTTTTCACGAGGGGTGGTCGCTTTCTTGACCGGAGAAACCGCGTTCTCCTTGTTGGCAGCGAACACCGTTGAGGCAGACATAGTTTATGCGTCGTACGACTGGTAAAAACTTGTTAACTTTAAGCTTTTAAGAGGTTCGTTATCGTTAAGTGACGAGACTTGAGTCGGCGCCTTCAGCTGCAGGGTCCCGCGCTTTGCGTTTCCCGCGCGGAGGTGACGTCATTTATACTCGGCGTGACGTCAGAGAGGGCGTGGCCAGGAGCGTGGTCATGACGTCACCACGCCGGAGTCACGTGGACCGTACCACTTTACAGCGCGGGGAGAACTGTTCGCTGTTAATTGCCAAATGGCTAATTTTATGCGAATAAAATTAACATAATCACTTATATTAGTAGTTAGTATCATTTAAATTTAGGAATAAATACCTATTAAGGCTTGTCCCCTTGTAATGAACGTTTCTTATTGTATTAATATTTTACGAGCACCCCTGGCGGTGGTAGTGTTAGAGCCCACGTTGGGGGCGGTTGTGTAATTGGTCGGTTGCTTTAGGCGGGAGATTCATTCAAATCAGCTGTTCGGTAACATTACTTACCACGGCGTTAAACTACGCTCGGAAATAGAACAAAGTGTTTAAAATGATGAACATTCTGTGCGTATAATGCTCTAATACGAAGCAAGGTTGACGTTCAACGCGCAATCTATTCAGTTCCTGATGTATTAAAGTTGAAATGTAATCTATGATTAGTTAAACTTGTGCGAATTTATTGTGTGTAACTGTACAGTACAGCTTTTATATTAACGATACAATAATCTAAATTAAAACCGAGTGCCTATTACATTACTATCGCTATACTTGTGCCGTATAATAGTTTACACGTTCAAAACAATGTTGCGTGAGTAGCTACACTTAGTATCAATCATCTACAACACGAAGCATAATTTAACATTAAACATTATTAACAATATTGCTTCGTCAAACTCATTACAAAGCATCTTTTGTAGTCGCTCTATCATCTGTTTAGAATTGTATTCAGTCAATAAATATCCTTGAGGCCCAAGGCCGTTTATCTTTACATTTACATAATTAAAGTGTCTAAGTTAAGGGGTTGTGTAAACAACGTTTTAGTCATTCTGTACTTGTGATCTGTACACATTCTAAATATGTATTACTAAGTTATTATTAAAATATTCCCTATACCGAGTAAACGTACTGTACAGCCTAAGAGCAGCGTTTGTAAAAACCCTGCCACGTTGCACAACTTTAATTCCAACTCGTTATAAACTTTATATTATCATCCTTTTACAGCGATTTAAAAACAGCGATTGACTCGAGTAAGTTACTAATAGCTCGCTTTTGTCATTCTACACGTTGCATTCTTTTTTAGGCGCCAAAAAACGTACGAAAATAAATATTTAAACACAAAATAAATATTTAACGTAACAGCTGGCGGGACAAAGGCCGCGTCTCAGCCGCTTGCCGCTCCACTGCTGGATGAGACGTTCTCTATATGCCATGTGGGTCATGCTGGGGGGCTATTTGGCCATACTTCGTGATTATCATCGTGGACTGGTGAGGACGGACGCAAAGACAAAGATCCATGCCCTCATCATGTCGCCTTCACAGACTGTAGGACCGAGTGATGTTAGCGAGCACTTTTACTAAGGGCCGGCGGCACCACGCCAGACCGCCTTTATCTCTCCGAGTGGCGATGTTTACACGCCGCACCAGGTACTCATTTGAGGCTAAGTCGATCTAGGTGAGGCTCAGGAGCGGGTTCGATAAGTTACTGGTGTTGGCCGTGAGCGGGAATCGAACCCGTGGACGTAGCGCAGCACGACAACGATGCAATTGTGGTGGCGGGTTTCACGACACGTTTATACTCGTTGGTTGTTTAGGTAAAGCCACGTAGGTATAAAATAAAATGCAATAAAATAAAATTTTATACCTACAGAGTATGGATTCCTGCAGTCACGAAAGCTTCAAATCAGATGTATTGTTTTATTATTTTAGTATTTCCCTTCTACGTAACTTTACCGAAAGAGCCAAGAAGATGACACGTTTATATTTACGCGATCTCACCGAAACAAAACCACCCCTCCTCGTATTATAAATGCGACTGTGTTTGCGTGTGCCGTAGCAGCACAGCATGGCACAACCACGTTGTGCCTGGTGCGGTCACACATCGAAGCACTATCCAGGCGCCAAACATCCTGATGAGCACTCGTGGGCCGATCAAATCGATTCAAATCGATCCCATAAGACCGCGATGCTTCAAATTGTTGTTGTCCATCGTCAGAGCGGATTGCAATCATTAGGATCGGTAGAACATGTAAACGAGAAAATATTGTGCGAAAATATGAATTGAGTAACAGTATATATAGTCGGTGGGAGTGAATCGTGTTACACGCCACTAAGGGATGGAATCGTGGGCTTGAGATTCGATTACTGGTCGTATCAATGAGGACTGAATAAGAAACTCGGCTTGTAGTTTGATCAATGGACAAGCGTCAAACGAGACGAGGCGTTGAACCAGACGGTAACGAGGACATTAATTGGTTCTTGAATTGCATCGTGAACAAAATTGACAACTTTAGAATCGCCAGGAGTGAATCTACGCTGAAGCAAGACCTCCCGCCCAGTCTCAAGACAAAGCCTCCGATTGGCGAACACTCGTTGCTGGCCTTTGTGAAACACGTGGTTGTGAAACACGTGGGACAGGGCATCTTGAGAGCAGACTGCCAATTGCTGTGAGATGTCGTAAACTGAAGTTACATAATAAACACATTCACTGACAATTGGGTTCGTTTCATGGCTGCTGTTCGAATGTTTATTTAAAATTTCCTAAATTTCGTGCTTTAAGAGCCGCGGTGGCGAGATGTTATCTCATCTGATGTTATCTCTTCTCGTCTAGGAAGCAGGCGATCATCGGTTCGACCCTGACGCCTGAATATTTAAAGCTTGGATGCTCTCCTCGTTGATTTTATCTCGGAACCCACTGGCTTTTCCCTCCACATTTTGAAACATGAGTTTAGATTACTTGTCTGCGATACATTTCCACAACACACACTTTGTGGCCAGGTCGTTCTGAAACATAGGTAATAGCTCTGCGAGTTTTACCTGGTAAATGTTTTTAACGTTTTTTTATGTTAGCTGGATAACTATGAAATACATTCGTGAAAGCTAAAGCTACGAATTACGAAGACTATTGCACGTATTCCTTAGCCGTGGCTCAATTCAGCACCACATCCTTTTACTGTATATTTCTGGAGGCGTAATATCTGTTATCTTGTTCGTTCACATGCGTGAGTAGTGACCAGCTCGTCCTTGATGTTCAGTTCAGTATAGTACGTGATTTTAAGAACTTAAAATTCAGCAATGTTTAATTATAAATTTCATCCGCTTGGTGCACACCATATCAGTGTCACGGGAGGGATGGCAACCGTGGTGGATAGTGGAATTGGGTATGTTAATGTTTGCACGAGGAGGTCATACAATGATGCAATTATATCGAGCATGACCAGCATGCATCAAATGACACAAAGGACCGGCAATGATGGTGAAACCAAGGACACTAGAACTAATGCATAATTAAGACGCGATATTAAATTCCTTAGACTTCAACCTCGCTTATTCGGGGGGGGGGGCACAATATTTCCAACATCATTGCAAAAGATGATAGAAACAGCCCATGGAAACCCTCATCCAGCCATGGATTCATAATGGCCGAAGATTATATACACGCACTGGCGGAGCCAGGGTGGCACGTGTCCCCCCCCAATGATCCGATCAAAATCCATAATTTCGAGCGAATCATTTATTAGTAATAAATCGGCATTTTGCGACCCCACTGCCACCGTGTAGCATATTATTATGTGCCAGGGACTCTGAGATGATAGGACAATAGTCTGAGTCCATAATTGGCAATAAGTAACGGCAAAACAGCTATGACTCACATAATTATGCGCAATTGCGTATACAGTACACGACTTCCCTGAATGCATTAACCTTCAGCGAGCGAGATGCTGATCACACACGGTTCGAATTCGACCCTCGGTCGATGGCTGTGCCATCGCCGCACACGGGGACAAGTCCTTACTTACAACTATCATTTTCCATTGTTGGAGGGGTTGCCCCCCCCCCCCGTACCTGAAAATCCTGGCTCCGCCATTGTCTACACACGTTTATTAAAATTCATTTTCACCAATCTCAATAGGTTCTAAACTGGTTAAGGACTTGCAGACCGTATAAGATTTTGAAATCATTCTCAGCTTGGCGCAAACCATTACTCTAGCGTCACCGGATAAACCATTCTTGTAGGGAAGCCTCCGGTTGCTCATTGAAAGCAAGGCTTCCTTCCCCACCAGCTTTACACATACACAAAGGGCATTTGCCCTAAACGTTGGTGACATTTGATCGTGAAGTGTCAATATGACCAATGATTTAACCATCAGTCTCTCGTCCGGACTTCTGAAGTCAACTGTACCTGGTTAAAATTGGTCTTGGACATCACGAGGGTGAGAAGTGCGAGTGGTTTTATCCATACCACATGCCTCGTGTCATTTTAAATAGGTGCTTGCAAACAGAACAATGTGCATAGCTGCATTTTTTAAAATCTCTTCGTATGGGGCACAAATTCCACACCATATTTTTAGCCATTCACTAGAAAACAAGTCAGATCTTTAAAAAAAAAGTCATAATTTCAGTAATCTATCAATACTCTTTGGTTATTTCGGTAAAGGTCACGTAGATAGAAAATGTATAGATCACGACGTTTCGATCACAACACAAGCGACCGTCTTCAGGTGAGAGAGAAAGCTACTGAAACAAGGTCTTATATAGGCCTGAGATGGATGCAGCCTCAGGGTAAGAGGGCAGGGCTCGAGCTGGTCTCCCTGGAGGCTGTGGAAGTGGCTATTTTATTGTGAAAGATTAGCATGTCAATGCACGAGCTTCGTATGTCGCAGTATCGGTGACTGAGCGGGAAGGATATCCAAGCCCGTCAATACAAAGACATCCAAACCAAATAATGCAACTCAGTCAGCTAAAAATCACAGGATGGAAACATCACGGCAGGTCAAGACTTTACCTCGGTTATCACGTCCTTGCAATGATTGCTCAATTTGTACCCATCTTCACAGTTGAAGTTGCATCTGCATTTATATCTAGATGGCTTCATGAACAAATCTCTGATGATAGCCAGTGGGTTTGCAGAGTATCTTCATCTTGGAAAAAAATCTATTTCGTGTGTGCCCACAGCATTAAAACAATGATAAGCAACAGCAGAGGTATTGGGTCCCACCGTGCTTCAGATCTGCCTCGTGTTCGTGAACAAGGTCCGAGACATGTCGTTTCGTTTAACCAAGGCAGATATGAAGTACAGTAGGAACAATACCTCTGCCGTTGCTGCATTTTAACACTGTGGGTACACACGAAATAGATTTTTCCAAGACGAAGTTACTCTGCAAACCCACTGGCTATCAGAGATTTGTTCATGAAGCCATCCAGATAAGACAACTTCAACCGAGAAGATTGGTACAAAATGAGCAATCATTGGAAGGACGTGATTAACGAGGTAAAGTCTTAACCTGCCGTGATGTTTCCATCTTTCCTGCGATTTTAGCCGACTCAGAGTTGCATTATAGGTTGGATGTTTTTGTATCGACAGGCTGGATGTCCTTATCGCTCCGTCACCGATGCTGCTATATACTAAGCTTGTGCATTGACATGCCAAATACAATAGCCACTTACACAACCTCAGGGAGACCATCTCTAGCCCTGCCCTCTTACCGAGGCTGCATCCATCTCAGGCCTATATAAGACCTTGTCTCAGCAGCTCTCTCTCTCACCTGAAGACTGTCACTTGTGTTGTGATCGAAACGTTGCGATCTATTTTCTATCTACGTGAATTTACCGAAAAGAACCAAAGAGTATGGATTCCTGCAGTTACAAAAGCTTCAAATCAATATTAATCTATCAACTTTCAAAATGAGTATTTCCACACAAAACCACCATCAAGATAACAACTTTACTTACATTTTATTTAGGGTTGAAGGTGAAATTGCAAGGCGCAAAAATGTACAGTGGATAAAACGAAACATTTTTTTAAAACGAGGCGCTCACTGAGCTGCCACGAACATGGCAGAGTGTACCAACATAAATTCCACCCTTCAGGATCCACAACCTTTTTGGGATGGCAAAACATTAATTTGGAAAAACTATCTTAAAGGAGCTTAAACAAATGTGTTCACAATTAGGAATAAAACAGTCTGTACCCATACTGGCTAATGTAACACAGCATTCCATCACGTCAACAAGCAAAGATAAAAATACTTAAATTTCTAAGACACCCGCCATTTCACGTTGCAGAAAACATGACAGATTGCAACTGAGATAAATCCCTCCACTGGTTACCACCAAAAAAAGTGGATCATAAAACTAAGACGCAATGCACTCCTGCATGCAGTGGAAAAAAAAGGCACCACGTCTGCTGTAGCAGTTAAACAAGAAGCCGCTAGGAGCTTGAAGCAAGACCAGACACGAATGCCTTCTCCTTGGCAGAATGGAGCAGCAAGCGGTTTGGTCTGTGCAAACTCTTAAAAGCTGCGATACTCTTGGGCAGTGTTATGGCAATCGGCAAAGCATTTAAGATTAACAACAGCAACTTGACAATGCAAATGGCAGTGACCGAGTTGTCTTGCCAATGGAAACGGTGTGCTGGAAGGTGTCATACACTAACAATTGTTCCATAATGCAAACCTCAGGTCATGCGACTTATAATTTAATTGCCAGTGGAAAAAGGTTGCGACTGCCCTAAAATCGCCCAAGTGGATGATGACCAAAACACTGGCAGCGACTACACTCCAGTTCACATGGCTCAAGAATTCACATCCACCACCCCTGGTCCATCTAAGTACAAGTTACTTCAAACGTTCATATAGTCAATGCCAGTGCATACTTTATTATAAATTGATGATAGCAATAACTGGAAGGAGTGTCCTTAGATTGGAATGGACCACTGGCAGTCACCGTTTGGTAGTACAACCCAGCAGGCAACATCTAAAGGTCATACTGTATGGACACATTTTGGCAGAAAAGCAAATGCTTTTCCATGCCATCGAACATATTTTTTACATAGTGGAAACAGACAATTACACTGGCTCCACACAGAATAGCTAATATGCAGACAAATGTTAAGCAAACAGCAGTATACTCATTTCGCCTGACAATTGACGTGGAAAAGGCTCCTTTTAAAAATTACACTGATAAACGCGATCGCTTAAAGCCAATAGGGTCTTGTATCTGAACTTCTTGAAAAATGCAGTCCGGATCAATGCCAACAAACTAGCATTTCTTGGTGTCGACAACAGCACTCAAGAGAACCGCTGGATCTCACTTCACCCGATCCTCAACTCTGCACATGGGTGCATTGTAGCAACCATTAGCAGCAGTCACCAGCACGTGTCTTGCAAATGTTTCAGCCAAGGTGCCCAGACAAAAGAGTTCAAAGCTTCCGACTGGTAGGCCGAGAGGCAGTGTTTTAGTAGGAGCACCCAGGAGGCTGGGGGACGAGCAGGTCCCAAGTCCCAAGTAGTTTGGTTTCAGACACCATGAGACGTTGCAGATTTGATGAATTGTGGTATCGATGAAATGCGGCACTCGCTAGTCCTGCTGGACAGTCGCTCCCTCCCCCTCTTCTACCTGTGCCTCCTCTTCCAATGATGGACGCTCCCCAGTCAGCCTCTGTCGCATGGGGAGAGAAACGTACGGAGGCATAAATGGATTTGCAAGAGTTTGTCGATCAGGCAGCAGGCATGCTGTCAATACACAAATGAGTTTGTGATAAAGGAGTCCCGTGTCAAGGATGGAAATCATTTCAAATTTTGCTCTTTATATACAGGGTGCTTAAAAAAATGTTCACACTTATAATGGGACTATCGTTTGTAATGGAAAAAATGGATAAACTGTAACATGATAAACACATGTATGTTAACAGCTTCAAAAAGTCAGAGTCTCCACTTTTTCACCATCATTGTCAACACATGCCTGGAATCTTCTCCAGGTGGTCTCCAGAGCCCAGAGGCACATTTATTGTGGTATTGTTGCAAATTCTCAGAAGTGTGAATATTTTTTTGAAGCACCCTGTATAATTTTGCATTGAACGAAGACCTATATCTAAACAAAGTCCTTGCCAATAATATCTGACAGTTCACCAGCATAGATTCAAGCAAGCCTGACTGCTGCCAAGGCACTGTATCAAAACAGTTAATGCGATGTTTGTGTTGGACCAATGATGCTGAAATTATGCACTCCAGTGGGGCCTTGTGGCAGATAGGATGTGTAAAAAAAAAGGTTGTGGCATAACAGAGATGGAGGCATCTGAAAATTGTATTTGTTACAACTTTATTTACGACACCAATAATTAAATCACTTCGCGGCCACAATAAAAAAAATCACATTTCCAGTGCTTGTAATCGACTTTGCTGCCTTGTTTCTAAAGTCCAAGTTTCCGTAGCATATGCCAACATGGGCACGTAGTACATTTTGTAAAAGATAATTTCACAGCACTATTGGCACCTTTATACTATATTACAGAGCGCTACTCATTTTAGAGCCGAATTAAGGACGCTATAAACAGTAACCTAAACTTAACCATTTTTAAACTAGTTTAACTCGAAGACTTTCGTGACCAATATCATCCATAAGGTTTTTTGGGTTAGATCGCATAAATAAATAAGTGTCGTTAAAACCCACTACCACCCGACAGCCAACTAGTAAGGGTTGTCACGTAAACAGAAGGTGCCAATTCATCACGAGTACCGGTGTGTTGGAAAGCCCAGCCACAACATTACATTGTGGCTTGGCTCTCCAACACACCGGTGTGCTGTACTAGTGACGAATTGGCACGTTCTGTTTATGTGACATCCCTTACTAGTTGGCTGTGTCGGGTGGTGGCGGTTTTTAATGACACATTTATATATTTACGCGATCCAACCAAAAAAAAAAACCTCTTAGATATTTTAAACTACACATTTTTTTTTTAACCAGGTAAAGCCCACCAAGCGATATAGCTCTGTCAGAAGGGACCTAGCCACAAATGCTAGCTCAACGAAGCGGCTTTTCACGTGGATATTTTCAGCAGTTAAAAACTCGAAACGCATGTTTCTAAATGTGGATGATAAAACCAGAGGACCCCAGAGACATCCATGCAACCACGCAGACACATGCAAACCCCAAATATAGGGAGGTCTCCAGGTCTGAATTGAACCCATGACCTCCTGTATATCAGGCGAGGTAGTTAACACCTCACCACCGTGTGGTGGCTCCTGCGCGATGCCACAAACCGCGATGAGGCAGCACAGACGCGATATGCCACCGGCGTTACTGCCAGGCCGTGCGGGCGGGCGGATGCAGTGATTGTTACCTCGATCATCGTGGCCAGGAAGTCGACGTGGGCGGCCACCTCCGAGAGATCCTCATTCTCGCGTCGGAGCTCCGCGATCTCCTGGTCGCGCTGCACCAGCTCAAGCCGCAACTACCAGAGACAAAGATTCCCCATATAGCCTTAACATACTGTTGGGGCAAGTGCTGTTTGAGAGTACCAAGGCTGGCACGGCACACGAGGGTGGGTGGCTAGTACCAACAACCACTCCTGGCTGCCTTCGTCTCCCCAGTCGCGATGCTCACACGCCACACCGGATGCTCAATTAAAGCAGAGCCGTTCTATTGGACACCCAGTACAGGTTTTGAGATCATTCTTGACAACGATATTAGCCATGTGGATGGCAGCAATTTGTCAAGCACTGCGCCACCTTTCCCCACAAGAACCTCCGATTAGCACCTTTGGCTACAAACGGTGAGAACGAAGTTCAACATACATACAACAAAAAATGCTCAATATTACCAATGTATCCTTATTTATTGTAGGGGGCCAGTGCTTTTAGTGAGCTGTTATTCAGATTGACACAGGAGGGGCTGCGCTGTGGCCAGCACCACACCCGTGTTCTCCACCGCATCACCATTGCACACAAACACCTACAGGTGCGCACACACAAACTGTGCAAACATTTGGGCCGCTGTGCTATCATTTTTCTACATCACACAATATCAACGTTCAGGCCATGGCGACCATCGCAATATCAGTTCCCTATAAATGTAGAATTCCATATTTTTGTCTTATTGTTTTGTTCTTTGCTGAACATCCAGGAATTATTACTCTAAAGTTACGGTAATGCAGTTCGGTAAATAGAAGCCTTCTACGCATTGTAACGTTACAACATATTATGCTTACAAGATAAATGTTGCCAGTTGCAAAACGCTTCATTATTTAAGACATAATTGCAAAACATATACATTAGCCAGGCTATCAATTACTCTGGAAAACATTTCGGAATGTACTAATTTAATGGACAGTCATTTTCTTTGCAAATTGAATTATATTGATGCTCAAAACTAATGTGGGTTAGGCCACAATAATCTGGCCAAATGTGTGACATGAAGTCCATTCACCACCCAACACAGCCAAGCCAATTGAACTTCCATATGTGCAAGTGTTCAATTGTGGCGATTATTATTGCAAGTTAAAGAACAGGCCTCAACCACGTGTAGCCATGAGACACGGTGTTCCGCTTGAAACGCCGTGAAGCACCCTTTAGACAAGACCCAGAACGGTCAGAATAGAAACGGTAAATAATTATTTTATTTGTTTGGCTGTGCCGTAATGGAAGATCTTAAGACAAATTTGGCTAGATCATTACATGGTGCAATTTTGTTGTTGATATTATGAATCAATATTGGCTGAAAAATAACCATGCAAGCCGGTTAAGCAACTGAGCCTCTATGCCAGCTCACCCGCTTGTTCTCCTGCAGCGCCTGGGCCAAGGCCCGTCTGCGCTGCTCCGCCAGCTGCTGCCAGTATTCCGGGGGCGGATCCTCTGAGGGGATCAACGCAACACACGTCAGCTTTTTAGCGACCCCCCCCCCCTCCAATGACCATGCATCTCCTCTGCTCAAATATTTACAATGGTTACCGCTTGACCACGATTGCGAATTTAAATACCGATTATTATATTCAAGATCCTACACAATAAAGGGACCAACATATTTGTCTGCGACGTTGCAGAAGTACATCCCTGCATGCGCTCAGAGGTCCAGTATTCAATGGCAGGCACCTCCCTCGCATCAACATCAGAAGTTCAAAGGGTGCATTAGCTTGAATTACACTGAAATTATTGAACCATCGGTCTAACCCATATCACTGCATTGACGATCTCAAACCGTAAAGAACACTCAAGACTTCCCTCAAATTAGCGGTGAACAATTACTCGTGCACTGCAGGAGCAGCCCAACAGATGCTGAACATTCATTTTTATATTGTTTAATTTTATTTCGTTGTCAGATAGGGGATTGAGAGAGGAGAGCTTCAGTGGCTGTTCACACGTGTAGACGCTCACCCTGAACCATGAGGGCGTACGCATCTCGACTGCTGCAGCCAGCTAGCCCCGTCTGTCGTTTCTGCGTCGTCTTCCCATTTGGCGCCGCCTTTACCGTCGCCGCCTACCACCACAGCGAGAGGGCGGGAAGGGATAAGGGAGCTTGAGTGAGCACCGCCCCAGAGATCACGGTGTTGGTGTGTCAGGAGATCACGTACGAGACACCCACGTGCAGCGCGCTAAGAGGTAGCCTTTAATATGAAGCATTGAATGAGGACATCATTCCATGGTCAGGTAATTTATGTTGTGTGTAAACATTTAGCACAGTTCTGCCAATTTTTATCCAACAGCTGCTCCCCATTTCTTTCAATTTCAATTATTATTCCATCCCTTCTGGAAGCTCTCTTTTTTTAATACTGCTAAGGGCAGCAGTTACCACTTCAGTTGTAACAGAGAAGATCTCCTTCACCTTAAAATTACACTTTTAGGGGCAATTCATCTTTTGCTACACTCATCTGCATACAATCTCCTCAAGCAGTATCAACAATAGTCTTTCGTGCTTTAATGTTCCGTCCTGATCTGTAAGGGCTACTCTCTTTGCATATTATTAATTAGCTTCCCTCTTGCTTCTTGAAACCTGCAATCACGTTTGTGTGGGTGGTGTTTGTTTCGTCAAATTGCATTGGAGAAGGGCATTAAGTCGGAGGCTGTTGACGGGTCAGTATAACAAGCAAAGATAATTAACTAAAGGAAATTATTTAAGAATTAAAAAGCTGCTTTAAAAAAGGGAAGTCATAAATCATATCACATTGACTTCAGAAAAGTGGGATTTGCCAAGACACATCGTGATGAGGGATTGATGGCCAATAAAAACCTGGTGATGGCATGGAAGCTAAAGTAGGTAATACACTTAAACAGGATGATAAATGCAGGTGTAGACAGGAGATTATCTCAGAGAAGCGAGGCGATTGTGGTTTAGCAGGACCATAATAAGGGGCGCTACACGATGGCGAGATGTTAACAAACTTGCCTGGTATTCAAGCCATGGGTTCGATCCCGACCCTGACGCCTGTATATTTGGAATTTGCGGTATCCTCGTAGTAGTGTGGATTTCTCTGGGACCTCCGGGTTCTCCCTCCATATTTAGAAACATGCATTTAGCGTGTTTGCGCATTGTTATACATTTCCACATGACAAGCCACTTAAATTGGATCTACAATTTATGGCTAGGTGGCTTCTGAAAAACTGCTAAATAGCTCAGTGGGCCTTACCTGGTGAAATAAAAAAAATGTTTAGTTTAGTTAATAAGGAGCGGGGGACGCAGGGACACCTTCATACAGCATATGGCTGCGTGCACGCGTTAGTCAGTGCCGCAGACCACACCTGCATCAAACGCCTCGTGGCATCTTGTGGGGGCACACACGGCTGGATCTCCTGCAGCGTCCGCCTGGTCCTTGGAGCCAGACCGTCGCCCATTGGAACTCCGCTCTGCACACGTACACCACCACACCGCAATTGTGAATGCTGCATGTTATTCACCGCACGTGTACACACAACCACAGCAATTCAAGCACTTCACTTGGACCTGTTATTTGCCAAGTGCCTTGCCAAAAGCACAAACAGTGCAAGTATGATTGTTGCTCAACTTCCCGTGTTATTCACCATAAGAGTAACATTTTGTTGAACCTGTTAATCACCACATGCAGCCACCTTTGTCTCCCCAATGCGGATGCCTTTACACACTGCACTAGGTACTCGTGAGGCCAAATCAGGCAAACGTTAACAGCCATGCACACGCGCTTCAAGAACATTACAGGACACTACAACATTATAGCATAAACACCACAAGGATGAAACAGACACTAAGCAAATATCAGTTCAAAGCTATTAGATGGTGGAGAGTACTACACATCCCTTTCGATACAATCACAGGATGGATAATCTTTAAACAACATTCAAGTTAATGTGCCACTTTCCACGGCAAGTGAATAATAGGGGGCAATGTGCAGACGTACTTTACGCATCGCAAAACACAAATTTGACTCCTTAACAATCAGTTACCAGAGTTACTAGACCCTGTCTGTAAAATTTCACGGCTCAGTCTATTCAAATCCAAAACTCACTCCTGCTCCCACAACAGGCACACTACTCATGCCCCGAGAGGTTACATTTTAGGGCAAGACCTATCCACTAACACCACCAAGTCATCACCACATGCATCTGAAAACTTTCCCCGCATGCTAAATCCTGAAAAAAAATGCCTGCCCTTATAAGGGTGCCACAGTGGCAAGATGGTAACTACCTCACCTGGTATACTGGAGGTCATGGTTTCGATCCCAACCCTGACAATGGCTGTATATTTGGAGTTTGCATGTTCCCCCCGTGCTCACGTGTATTTTTCTCAGGGTCCTCGGTTTTTCCCTCCATATTTTTAGAAACATGCACTTACAGTATTACGCTGCTATACATTTCCACATTATAATTTACGTTATCGAGCGGTTATTTGTGGCCAGGTCGCTTCTGAAAAAGAGCGCTATATAGCTCACTGGGCCTTCATAACAAAGTTTACAAAATTAAGCCAAGGCCATAACATTAGGGCAATAGTTTTCACACAGAACCTTGATAACCAGCAATGTCAAGTCATTGGCTGTATTGTAAAACTCTGATAAAAAGCAATATGTAGGGATCAGTATAGATATTGTAAAACACAAAGAGACCAAAAACAAAACAAACCGATTCTGCAGACATAATAGCTCAGTCTAGCAGGGCAGCCCAATAGGGATACAATTTATATCATTCCAAAGCAATGCATTACACAATATCATAATCAGAGTAGAGCCCTGAACACACAATTGACAACAATTCTGGTATCAATACCTTCTGGCATCACCCTGCTGGTATCACAAATCCTTGAGTGGGGATTATAGGATATTCACCTACGGGTTATCAGTGACCACCACTACATAGCTATGTCCTTACATTAATGAACACATTTATCCAACAATGCCTCACCTCACTGCTAGTTAATGCTTTCCCTGTCCCTCGGGACTTGCTTTGGATGTTTGTTCTCACAGGAGATTGCAACACAAAACAGCCCGGTTTGCAGAAGAAGCGCCACAGCAGTGACCAGTGGTTACACGAGTTTTAAATAAACAATTGTTACTAAAGTTCGTCGCTAAACGCTCTTAAAGATATTTTGTTAACATGCGCAGAACCGCCCCACGGCAACAAAGTCTTATGCAAGTCAATTCAAAGTTGCTTCATCAACAAAGCTTTAAACACAAGCTGGACAATCTCATCCACAAAGGTATGTAGTTAAAAGCCAATTGATTTCCAACTGCATCAAAATTTACAAGGACATTGCTCTGCACTGCCTTTGCCGACACTTTCACCTTCGCACAAAAACCGACTCAGAAATCTATACGAGGGGATGTGTTCGGAGGCACAATCATTCAAGCGCACTTACATCGATCTTAAAAACGCTGCCTCCGCTCCCAAAATCGCCGTGGAGGGAGCGGTGTGCGATGCACACTCATAGCCCAAAGGCTGAATGATGCCGGATGAAGGTAACGCAACATCTCGGTGCCCGTTGAGCTAAAGTCACCCGGGACAAAAGGCGGAGCAAACAATCTTAAACGTTCCTTAGCGAAATGGAGCTTTGGCGGGCTTGGCAAGTCAGCTCTCAGTGAACAAATGTGGCAAAGTGCACAGTCAGTGCAATATTAACAGCTGCGGTTGGAGGAGACAGGAGTGCGATTCTATCTCGCCCGGCTGCCCGCCAGCCTACCCGCCAAACAGAGAACATTGATGAATAAAAAAATCAATGGCAGCTTCGACAAAACAGTCATTGTGTGAAAAATAAAGAAATAAAAACAAAAACCACAGGCTCAGAGTGAAGAGAACAGTTAAATATTACGACACCAATTAGTAAGGCGATAGGGGCAAGGCAATCATTAACCGACCGCACAGGAAGTACGATGGGGATTTGCACGGGTGAACGGAGACACCTCCGCACCACTTCGTGGGGCTCAGGCCACCACCTCGACAGCGTTACGAGACCAGCAGAGATTTACAACCACTGGGCAAGCTGTACATGGGCCTGCTAACCGCACAGCAGGTGCTCGGCACCTTCCCCGAGCTCACACAGCTAGATTATCTATAGCTTTCACCGATAGCCTACGTAAGCGCATTTATCATTAAAGCTCATGTCTGGAATCAAAGGGCTTCAAACCACTGATGAACGAAGACCTTCACAAGCTATTGCGATCCCTCATGGTAATGCATTAAGTACGACCAAAATATACCTATAATCAATCAACACGGTATGGTAAGGCCTTCATACAATAGTGGATTGCCAAAAGGGCTGCGATTTAGAAAGCTTACTTTCCAGGTATGCATCTGAAAATGCTCAATTTCTTGAAGCGCTTCTCAAACTCTTGCTTGTAAGCTGCCATTTATTAGGTCGCTCGCACTAAACTTCAGGAATCTGCGACAAGAACACTCTTACCAAAGACTACTTTGGTGAAGCACTTCTGCCCAGAGATCGCTTCCCAGTTATGCGTTTTCCAAATTATTTCTACCTTGGTGCACAACAACGTTTACCTGAAAACTTTAAAGCAGCAATTAAATTGTCAATGTGTCATTTACAAACAAGGCTCCCTTGTCACACAAGTTAATACCCCCACGTCGGCATCAAGCACAAAGCCAGATGTTATTTCGCTTCCATTCGAAACGACTGTATATTTATTGCGGCAAGTAATGGGTACTGTTGAGAAAGTTGAAAGTCAAAGTGCCCAAAGAGTTGCCGCTCATCTCCTCTTAGCAGCTCAGAACCAGTCGTGGAAATTCTGTATTCTAATGGTGGGGGGGAAAGTCTGCATAGGACAACATGATTGATATCCCAGACCTCCTTATTTCATGGACTGTTGAAGGATGAAGTTTAAGTGACCTCTGGTAGTATTTGAAGTCTACTTTCCACACAGAGTGCTGCGCGTTACAACCATTGCCCACCCCGGCTGATGGTACAAACTCCACTTTAGGGTCACACACGCCAAAAATAGACTTTAGCCGTCAAGGACAGAACATGTTTAGATGTTGGAAGTATTACAAAAACAGATTACCCAAGAATTTTGTTTTTATTTTTGCATCATTAATATGGTCTTAACTCTGATTTCAGGAGAGTCCTACACTTGGCAGCATTAGAATAGTAAGGCCAATGATCCGTGAATGACTTTCGCAAAAGCAAGTCGCCGTGTCCAACTCTTTTTGAAACGTGTATTTTGGTACTTAAATTTTATTTACAAGTGTAACGCGAGGAAAAATTAAACATCTCGTATTTGCCGATAGCCATTATATACAATGTCCAATCAGATCGAATTACATGAAAATATTAGCATTTAAAAAAAAAGAGGCTGTTGAGCTCAGAATAAGAGCAAAACGAAGGTCAAGTACAACAAGTTTGAAAAAGAATGCCAAGTGGGTAATAACTCATAAAAGACAGCAGAGTATATTTACCAAGGGCAGCTACTTAAGGCAGATCGGGATAAAATAAAATACATTTATAAAGGCTGCCGAGAGCAGAAGTGCTTTTATTCAATTCGAATAGATACTGAAAGCAATATACCAATGTGTCAACAGAAGAATGTTTAACCATTAATCATTGCACATCAGCGTTTTACAGACCAGAAGCATGAATTCTAACAAACAATCGCAAAGCAGGAAGCAATGCAATTTCACCGGTATATATAAAAAGGCAACACTTAGATCAGAGAGCACAGGCAGGTTAAAATATATCATATCAACTGTTAAAAAAGGGGACATGGGAAAAAACACGTAGCTAGAAGGTACGAGGGCCGGTGGTTTAGAAATACAGTTGCAGCCAAGGACAGGAATGTGCCCCAAAGGGTGAGCAACGATGAGATGTGTGAAGAAATCAGCTTGTGTGAAGATGCTGGGCGAACCGTTACACTGCAGGACTGTACGAGACGGCTTGCATCCAATGGGAATGTATGATGCCTGATGATAAAGGCGTTTTATTCCCCCCCCCCCCCCGACCTTCACCAATATTCATGTAATTTTGATATTACTCACTGGGCTCCCCCCTTTGCGGGAAGTCAATGGTAGTCAACCTATGAACAGCCCAACCACTTCTAGATTTGAAGTGTTCGTGACTGCAAGGATTCATACGCTTTGGTTTTTTCGGTAAAGTCACATAGGTAAAAAATGTTAATAAATGAAAACCAAATTAAATCGACGTTTCGGGCGCAACACAAGCGTCCTTCTTCAGGTGGGGACAACATAGCGAAAGCACAACCGCTTCAGGTATGTCTCAGAGATGGCCGTGACGAGGAATTATATAGTCGCTGAAGCTTTGTGATGCAGATGGTGGAAGTAGACAGGTAAGGTAGGATTACGTAGCCTTTTGTTATGCTGCCAATGGGGTAAATTGGAGATGCACAAGCTAAAAAAAGACCAAAAAACTGCGTGTG